TATATATATATATATATATATACACACATGTTTGTTTAAGTTTAGAAACTGTTTCTTTAACATATATTCCTTATGTGACCCCTTAAAGTTAATGTAAAATGCCCCCAAACCCACAAGATAGGCCCCTTCTAGGTAGTTAGACAGGTTCCCATTCAGGAGGGTTTAGAGGCTGCTAAAGGTGGTTTGCGTCTTGCGGCTGTAATGCAGTGGCTATGTAATGCAACTACTAGACTGGATCCTGCAGTCTTTAAAAGAAAGGGCCTTCTGTTGCCACTGATGTATGACATGTTTGATATGATGAATGCAGACGCGGGGAAAATGTTGCTCCACTATGGGCTCATTGGATCTCAATCCAGTTTGGATCCATGTGCAACCCAAATATTTCATACAGAGTTTCTTTGTGCATTTACTATGGGCAACTGTGTGTGTGAGTGTAGGGGGAAAAGAAATAGATAAACTCTCGCCAGAGACTAAAATGAGGTTTTCCAATTTGGGCAGCAGAATAAAATCCATACGCCACTTAATTTCATAATTAGAGATGAAGCTGAACTTAAGGTCAGATCATGTGCCCAAGTTTCTCGTGTAATCATGTTACTGTCTGACTGTTAAAAGGGAGGGAGGGTGGGAACAAAAGCAGTTAGTTTTCTTACATCTTCTGGACACAGAGGAGTCCTCTATCAGAACTGCACTACTCATATAGCATTTTTGTCATAACTCAGTTGTCATGTACATGACAATATATGACGTAAAACCACAGAAACCTTTGTAGGGCAATTTGCCCTGGCAGCCTTTATGAGATTTTTATTAGTATAAAATCTAAAACCAAATCTTATATGTTGTTAAAAGGGAAAAAACTAAAAAACTATGTGTAGAGCTGATGTTCACTGAGTATTAGCTGAAAAAAAGATTCACTTCTTTTAATCTTATTATTTATCTGCTCTTTAATTTGCAGTTTACGGTACGATCTGATAAGTCAGTAGCTACAGCCACACTAATGGTTTTGTGAGGCTGCGTCTTATGTCAACTCTCAAAATATATATAATATATATATATAACACAGGAAGTGACAAGTGACTTATCGAAAGTTGAAGAACTCACAGTCTTAAGTGTGGAATGCTTTACACCTTCATTCACAGTGGTCACACTCGTGGCTATGTAACAGCTATGTTAGAGGAGGATACTTTGTCAGTAGAGACAGCGAGCTTAGTACTAACTAGCGTGCTAACAGTGGCAAGTTTTTACAGTTGCTGGTGTTACATGTGTTGGAATATAATTATGGTCTTTACTCAAGAAGAACTTAATGTTATGTAAATATATCATTTTCCTGATGTTCTCAAAGTGCGGCAGCTACCATGAATTTGTGATCGGACAAACATTTGTCATTTTATGCAATTTAGAAAAGGGATTTTTATTGTGACATGCATCAGGCAAACTTGTACGTGGTGATCAGCCATGCAAACCCATGCAATGAAGCTCCTAGTGCATAGCTTTTGTGCCGATGTTAATGCCAGAGGTGCCTCAGCACTTCACTCTGTAACTTTATGTGGTCTGAAGCTTTGTGGCTGAGTTGCTGTGATTCCCAAACACTTCCATTCTGTAATGAATACCACTTAAAGCTGATCATGGAATATCTAGGAGAGAAGAAATTTCACAAACTGACTTGTCGCAATGCTAGCTTAAATCCAGTGAGCCCTTTACAATGACTCTTTCTTTAACAAAAAATTACAAACTGCATGAGCAAGTGTTTGATTTTGTGACACTGAAAACACTTGAATTCAACGATTATGCAGTGGGGTCCAATTTTTCTTCTCCATATTGTGTATTTTAGTTTTGGTGAAACTAGTGTTGATCTAACCTATGTTGATCTCCCTGAAGCCATCCGGCTATAGTAAGTTGCCCTGCCTCCAGCTCCCTCAATTTCATGATAACTCAGTCTAACCAATACTGTCTGCAACCTATTTAACTATCTACTGTACTGCTCTAATGATACACAGTAAGGTAATTAAACCATGATTCACTCCGCGTGGGTTCTTATTACTACCTTCATGTGATCTGTCCTGCTCCCACAGACTGCTTC